TAAGTAAGCTAGGCCAAGGGTTCGCTTGGGGCCAGCAATAGTCTTCGAGTGCCAGTCCCGCCCAGGGTGTAGGCTTAGGATGTGACAAACTTGGTATCAGAGCACATAGTTCAGCAGTCCTAGGGAATATATGAAGCCGTGTCTCTAGAGTCCTAGTTATCGGTGTGAAGCACGCCACAACTATAATTAGGAGGCTGCAACATTTAGGAAATTCCTTCACTTCTTTCATACTCATTTCGTGCGTTAGAGTTTTTTCTCTAAAAAGTTTCTTTCTAAGTCGTGCTTACGCGTAACCGTTTGTGAGTTGGACTGTTTTGAGAGTGCTTTCATGGGGCGTTTCTTTCCCCGTGATCTAAGAGAAACAAAGAGATCGTTGTTGACAAGAGGAGCAGGATGAGTTTATTTGTTATTGGGCTGCCTCATCGGTCAGACAAGGAAAGTAAGGCAGCCATGCTAATAGGTGACATGGACATAGCAAGGCTGATGATCCATGTGCAACAAGTTGAGAAGGACCAGCTGAAGGATAGAGAATAGTTTGATAGTAAGAGGGCTAAGACATCAAGGAATGAATCCGGGCAGCGAAAGAGTAATGTGAGCCCGGTCTTCTTTCCAACATAAGCAGAAAGGACATGCTCCATCATCTGCTAGTGCACCTACACCTAAGAACAAAGGTGAGTACAATAGTAAGAATTCTCAGAACTTTAGAGCTAGACCTGCGCATTCGCAAGGTAGTAAGGCATAAGGGGGTACTAAGACTCCTGCATGTGCTAGGTGTGGTAGAAACCACCAATGTAAGTGTCGTTATGGGCATATAGGTTGCTTCAAGTGCGGGCAAGAGGGTCACTTCATGCGAGAGTGTTCTAAGAATAAGTAGGGAAATGGTAATGGGGGCAATAAAGCCCAGCTTTCTTCAATTGCTCCACCAGACAAAGCTTTACCTAGAGGGGCTACTTCTGGTGCTGGCGGAGAAACAAACCGCTTATATGATATTAAGAGTCGCCAAGAGCAAAAGGATTCGCGAGATGTTGTCACTGGTATGATCCAAGTCTTTGACATTACTGTTTATGCTTTGTTAGATCCAGAAGTGAATTTATCTTTTGTAACTCCAGATGTTGCTATGAATTTTGATGTTATTCCTGAGCAACTTAGTGAGCCATTCAGTGTTTCTACACTTGTTGGTGAGTCTATTCTAGTAGAGAGAGTCTATCATAATTGTCCCGTTTCCGTCAATCACAAGAGTACCATGGATGATTTAATTTAGTTAGACATGGGTAGATTTTGATGTCATTCTTGTATGGACTGGCTTCATGTCTGTTATACCTCAGTTGATTGTAGAACTCGAGTTGTCAAGTTTCAGATTCCTAATGAACCAGTCATAGAGTGGAGTAGTAGTTCAGCAGTGCCTAAGGGTCGTTTCATTTCATACCTTAAGGAGAGAAAGTTAGTTTAGAAGGGTTGCATCTATCACTTAGTCCGAGTTAATGACTCTAGTGTTAAGGTACCTCTCATTCAGTCAATTCCTATAGTAAAATAGTTTCTAAAAGTCTTTCATCATGACCTACCTGGAGTCTCTCTTAAGAGAGAAATAGACTTCGGCATAGACATCATTCCAGATACTCGTCCTATATCTATTCCGCCATACAAAATGGCACTAGCAGAGTTGAAAGAACAGTTAAAGGATTTGTTAGATAAGGGCTTCATTCGACCAAGTGTCTCACCTTGGGGCGCTCCGATCTTGTTTGTGAGAAAGAAAGATGGTTCCATTAGGATGTGTATAGGCTACCGTCAATTGAACAAGGTTACCATCAAATAAGGTTAGGGAACACTAATCCAACCTTAGAGACTTCAAACAAGACTCAAATCAACAAAAATATTTTTGGGGTTTTCTTCAAAAACGATTTTGATTCTTTTTTTTTTAATAAACCCAAGACTAGTAGGAACGAATCTAAGCATTGCTCTGATACCAGATGATGTAATTCTCAAAAGGGATTACGGAATAAATACGAAAATTAAAGACAAGAAAATAAAGATAGATAGATAGACGCACAAAGAGGGAAAAAAAAGCAACCAAATGGTATATTAAACCCTAAGACCTCAATTCGTTAATCATGCAATAGCAATTAACTCTTACATAGACCTTAAGGGAATCAAATTCACCTTGCAACCAACGTTTCTAAGCAAACATCAACCAAAAGCTTTACCAAGCTCTCAACACTCATACAAGAGTTTTCAATATTCAAAATAGTCTACCCTAAAATGAACCCAAACTAGCTATTTATAGGTTTAGGCACTTACTACAAAAATGGGTCCAAAAATGACCCAAAATGGCCAATGGGCGAGCTAAGTCGGGCTCGTCTAGTGGACTCGGCGACTCGCCCATTGGGTTGGCAATGGATCCTGCTCTTGGTAACGTCCTAGAACTTTAGGCGAGTTGGGGTCATCGCCCAAGCCATTGGGCG